GGGGTAACAAAGACCATCACTTTTTTTGAAATTACATCAAAACTATGAGAGGCAGGAGCCAGCAATTTATGGTGAGTGAAGCTAGAGTATAGACCTGTATTTTGCACGTTTCAATTTAAGTTTAACTTATCTACTTAAAAAATGGCATCAGTTTGAAAAAAAGTGGTCAAAAATACCCCAGTTTATGGTACTAATCTATTTTTATTGTCTTGTAATTTGTATTTAATTAATAAAGGAAAGAGGATGGTTGAGAACTTGAGGTAGAATAACATAACAGTGATGTTGGCACTAGAGAGTATGTAGGCCTGTTGTAGCCTGTCACCAATTCTTGAACTTTTTGTGACTTGTTCACAGAAGATCTAAAATAATGTCATTTGACCGGAGCTTCTCAAGACTGACGATGGTTTGAAATAGCTTCTGGCCTTCCACTGGGTTCGATATGGTGCTAGGCATTTCAAGTATTCAACTATAAATATAGTCAGATGGGGTAAGACAGGACCGAAATCACTAACAAGCATGTGGCATCTATACCATGAATAAATAAAAAACCAAAAAGTTATCACAAGGTGTAGTTATGCAATGGGCTTCTAAGCTACAACTCAGACTTTCTGCATACAACACAGTTGTCTGTACAGATTGAAAAAAGTGAGCTGGTCCCATCTTACCCCACTGGGGTAAGATGGGACCGGGGCTGGGGTAAGACAGGACCAACAGGTAATTCTTGTGTTACAAGGTTTTTAATAAAAGTACAAACCTGATATTCAATATTATCAATCTAGAAACACATTATTCGATTACACAACCACTTGTTACTGTTTTGTGTTGCAGGATGTCAACTCTATTGAAATTTATCAGTCACATTTGGAGTTTTTGTCACGAGAAAACTTTGTTAACTCTTTAATGACCAAATTTTTTTAACCGCATACAATTTTTTTTGTTATAATTTCTAGTGATTCCGGTCACTAAGTAGTGTATAGATGAGTATAGAACATTGAAAATTGTATATTGAAAAATTGTAAGGCAACATTTCAGTCCACTTGGTCTTACAAGATCCTAACATTAAATGCGATGGTATAATCCACTTAGTCTTCTGAGCGCAAAATATGGATGATATTATATAGCTGGCTTAGTTAATTATCATTTTATACATTAATTTTGCTAGCAACAATAGGCTTAATAAGTCTGGCCAAGAAACTTCCAATAAACTCTAGTAATTTAGCAAAAATGCCTTATTTGAGATTGAAATTTCAAAGAAAATTTGTGTTTTTCCAACTGCCAGGGTCCAGACTGAGAGGCCAGGGTCCAGACTGAGAGGCCAGGGTCCAGACTGAGAGGCCAGAGTACAGGTTAAGAGGCCAGGGTCCAGGTTAAGAGGCCAGGGTCCAGGTTAAGAGGCCAGGGTCCAGGCTGAGAGGCCAGAGTTCAGACTGAGAGGCCAGGGTCCAGGTTGAGAGGCCAGGTTTCCACCTTCCATTCTTTTAATTTCAATCATGATTGATTCATTTTCTTCTTCAAATTTGCTTTCAGAACTGGTTTCAGGCATATTGGTGAAACCAATATTGTATCCAATATCAGAAGACTTTTGATCCAGAGTCTTCATTAGATTCACTGGAGAATGGAGTAGCAAGATGTTCACATAGACTGGGACGTTTTCTTGGAGAA